TCTGAGGAATTATTTGAGTAAAAGGAATTACGGTGTACACTTTTCCCTCTGCGGTTTACCCCTCGGTTTAATGTTAAATAATAAGATAGGTTTTCCTACAGTTTCAATTATATAAATATTTAATTACATTACAGCTTAAATTCGTGTACATCAATTGCCGTATTTAGTTAAAATATCAACAAACGCACAAGCTGATGAAATTCAGTATCATTTTATGAATGGAAATGTTTTGTATATCTACTCTCTTTTCTATTGTGGAGCGATCGTGTAAACCCTGTATGTATTTATAAACAATTGGGTCAGTATTTATATTTCTGCATTCATGAATGGCGACGTTCGTTTCAAGGCCGTTTTAAACACATAACCGCTTAATTATTGTTATTATTTTTCCATTAATTGCATGTTTGCCCCAAGAAGGATAATCGGTTCGAATGTTTATGTACAGGTTTTTCTTTGCTACAAATATACGAGAAGATTTGAGTGTCCTGCTTAAGGTTTAAAGAAAAATCTAGTTCTGTGAGATATTTTTATGTATATGCCCAGTAGGAATACCACAACGATCGAAAAAAAAACGTCCTCAAAGACAGTGGTTGATAATTTTGACGAGGTCAAGCTTCGGAGTAAAGGCGTGTTCTATTCGGAGTAAATATGACTTTCTCAAAAAATTCTCTTGGTCTTGAAGTCTAAGAAATTATCTTGGATTAGCAGGGTCCAGGCTTGGTCTAGCTGCAAGACTTTTGCAAGTCTAGCACTTTTTTAATAGATTTTTATTAGAGGTATTTTCTACTAAGGTCCGACCGAACTTTTATTTTTAGTCTCGGCCGAGACCGAGAGACGATGCAATATTTATTTAATAATTTATTATATGAAAAAAAAACATCTGATAATAAAATAATAAAAACGGTTATTTTCATGCAGAAACGGTTTTATTGGGATTTGATACTATAAAATTACTAATACTAATAAAATTACTTTATTAGTCTATGTTATAGGCTAAAAAAGTAATTTTTCAGCATTGCATCTTTCAAATTATGCAGTGTTTCATCATTCATCATATTCTTTCTAAATAGTTGTTTGCTAGATGGTGCTTGTTGGTGATGCATCAGAGGTGCAGACTAGAAATGTATAAGTTTCTAGTTTCAGAACTCTGTATGGAGGTGAATACTTACACACAAAAATTTTACTTATTAGTAGGATATACGAGTAATTCATATAAAAGCACAATTCTCTGTTAAATTTATAAAACTTACATTAATAAGACCTTAACATCTATCATTTCGTTCATTGTTTACGCATAGAAATACGAAGGCGATTCTTTAGCTGTCCGGGAAACCCCCATCGTGATTCGGTCATCCATTCTTTTTTTTTTCGACTTCAGACGAGTATTTCATTCATCCACGCGTCGATAGATGGAGCGAGAGGCTCAAAAATAAGCTAATTTGACGATCGTGAGCAGTTTTGTTACATTTCGTACGTAATGTAAAAAAGGAATTTGGAAGACCGTCTGTCGGTTGTACTTTTCGGAATTTTAAAATTTCAATTTTTGTCAATTTAAAGGATTATGCATTTTATTATTATATTATGTATAATATTAAATATACAGGGTGGTCCGAACTGTATTCCGGAATCTTCGGCAGCATATTCTATAGATAAAAATAAGTAAAAAAGTTCGTATAAATGTATGTCCGAAAATGCTTAGTTTCGAAGATACAGGGTGTAGAAGTTTCATTTTTATTTCGATTTTTTCCCCATAATTTCTGAAGTAACGTCAATATTGGGATGAAAATTGACGTCCGGAGGTTTTTTGACATGACCATGGCCGTGGCCGATAATCTCGGCCTTTTTATGCCGAGAACGATTTTTCGCTGAGAACCTTTTTTGGAACCTTACTTTCTACATAGAAAATTTACCAATAAATGTTATTATAATGAATTTAATGCAAATGAAACTTAAAAGAAAGGAACAGTACCTACCGGATGCGTCTCAAAAGTGGCTCACCCCTAACTCTTATTTTTTCAGTTAAATGAGATTTGGTATATTAGCATATGACATAAATTAGAATTTATTGACGTATTCAATTGTTTTCGGTCACTTCCTGTTTCACCGGAAATTACTAGAACTTTTGATTTTTAAATGTCACCCTCGGTATTTTTTACTTTATTCGATAGAAAATAACACTCTGAATTGAATGACATATCATATGTCAACTTTTGACATTTTGGCATATGGTTTATTTGAAATTATAACTTGCGGTTCGTAACGAAAATTTGACTCGAAATCGTAAAAAATGCTTTTTCGAAATATGCTAATGAGCCACTGTCGTTCCATTTGAAAAAATTGAGATATGATTGAAAATACGATTTGAGCATTTTCTAACTAGCCAGGAGAAGACACTAAAAACATCAGACGATCAAATCTATTTTTCCAAGGCTCCTTGATTAAGAATTAGTGTTTTCAACATAGCCATGGCACTCTAGATTGAATTTCAGAATACGATTTTTTATTAAGCGAGAATGTCAAAACTTGACATATGATATGTCATTCTATTCAGAATGTAATTTTCTATCGAGTAAAATAAAAAAATATCCAGGGCGCCATTTAAAAATCAAAAATTGTAGTAATTTCCGGTGAAACAGGAAGTGACCAAAAACAATTGAATACGTCAATCAATCCTAATTTATGTCATATACTAACATACCAATTCTGTTTTTTTTTCTGAAAAAATAAAAAAGTTACCCGGTATTTTTCAGAAAATTTGATTTTTCAATATATACAGAGTGTCCCAGAAATAAGTGCAAGTATTTTAAGGGGTGGTAGATCTCGATAAAAGAAACATATTTTCTCATTATGGTTTTTCAAATAAGTTTAAAATAACGGAGTTATTTTACCAAAAAAAAATTTCCAAAAAAAATGATTTTTTGCTCAAATTTTGAGGACCACTGGATCTTTTCTGGATTTTCTTTCTTGTAAATTTAATCTACTACCTATGTTGCCATATTATCAAGAAATTATGTTGTTTAACTAAAAACTAAAAAAAAATCCAAAAAATTCCGAATTTTCAAAAAAAATTTCGCGAAAAAAATCTCATAGCCGTGTTTCTCGGGTTAAACTATACTACCAGTTAAAATACTTCCACTTATTTCTGGGACACCTTGTATATGTCCATCATGTCCATCAGTATCTCAATACTTGGACAGCGCACTCCAATCCTTGGGGAAATACTGAATGTGTGTGGCTACCTGCTACCTTTAGCATAGTTTACAGGCTTAAGTAAACTTTGCTTTTTACAAATTTATTAGAAAATAACTAGGTATCTATCTAAATGCCGACATATAAATAGTATAAATTAATCTATAAATAAGACGATAATGAATGACAGCCGTCTGGTATCAGCTGTGAGCGCTTTTGATATTGTATATCGCTCGTAAATAACTAATTATTTATTTTCATCGTTGCTGTTACTTAAAGTATCGATACTACTCGGAGATAATGTTCGGTAAATAATAGTCGTTACGTTTTAATAAAGCTATTTAAGTGCATTTTAGGGCGTGGCCGTTTTGAAAATACGAACCGTTTTGATTTATCGCATTCTTCGGAATAAGGTCGCGCGAAATTTTTGCCATGTTTTATTTATTTATCCGTTTAATTGGGTTTCAGAGAATTTAAAATTGTATATTTATACAGGGTGGTCCGAACTGTATTCCAGAAACTTCGGCAGCATATTCTGCAGATAAACATAAGCAAAAAAGTTCGTATAAATGTATAGTATTCTAAAATGCTTAGTTTTGGAGACACAGGGTGTAGAAGTTGCATTTTTTACTTTGATTTTTTTTAAATAATTTCTGAAGTAGGTAACGTCAATATTTGGATGAAAATTGGTGTTTGGGTTTTTTTGACATAAGAAATTTGTTTTTGATGTCAATATGACTCCTATTTGGAGAGGGCGCCACCTACACGTGTTTTAACTGGTTTGAAAAGAAATAACTTGTATAAAACTACCGAGTGAAAAAATATAAATTTTCGTGATTTTTTATGTAAAAAATGTTCCTTGATAGAAATCGCTACGAGCAGCCGTTCTCAAGATATTTAGAATGGAAATAGTCAATACCTGTCATTATTGACAAAAATAAACGTGCTGTGAGTAGATTCGAATAGTTATTTGACTGAAATAAGAAATTTGGGAATTTTTTATTTTTTAAATTAATCATAAATTTTTCTTCGAAAAAATGATGATAAAACAGTTTCTGTTGAACTTTGGGCACATAAACATTTCAATTTATGATTGCAGTGTAATAACTAGTTAGTCAACATTAACAATTATAACAATTTATGTCAATGGCTACAGGTAATTTCGATTCCAAATATCTCGAGAACCATTACTCGTATTAGTGATTTTTTCCAAGATACCTTTTTTACGTAAAAAACGTCGTATATAAATGTATTTTTTTTTGCTTATTAATTTTATACAGATACGGACGTTAGTTATTACTCTTCAAACCAGTTAAGAAATATGTGGGTGGCGCCCTCTTCAAGTAGGAGTCATATTGACATCAACATCAAAATCAAATTTCTCATGTCAAAAAACTCAGACACCAATTTTCATTCCAATATTGACGTTACTTCAGAAATTATTTGGAAAAATCGAAATAAAAATGAATTAAATTTAATAATTATATTAATTAATTATTGATCTTATAGTCACTCACAATTAATATAATCAATTTATACTAAAGTTTTTAGTGCTGAAATGTTATAACCTGGTTTTTATTTTTTTTTAAATCCTAATCAGGTTATAATATTTGCTCTTTTCTCCTTTGCGATTTCGCTTAATCCAAAAGCTTTATTTTTTTATTTGTAACCAATGCGCGATACGGAATACAACACCACAACACATTTTTGAGCGAAAAAAGTTGGTATTGAAGGTTCTAGTATTCTAGTAGAAAAAAACATGAATATTGTTGAATAATGTTCGATCTTATTAATTTTTGTTGTTGTTGCAGTCGAATCAACAAAGGGGGCGAACCGCCCACGGCCGTGATGGATCAGGAGAAGCGCCTGCGCAGGGAGATCGCCAACAGTAACGAGCGCAGGCGCATGCAGAGCATCAACAATGGCTTCCAGTCGTTGCGCAGTTTACTACCCCACCACGAGGGAGAGAAGTTAAGCAAGGTAAGAGACCACGTTAAATTGCTTTTTCGTACAGAAATTATTATGATTTATACAATTTTATTTATATCAAGTTGTGACGGCCATAACAGGGCCCGAATTCTGGAACTTCGATATAAAAACGTTACGCTTTCAAAGCGGTAAGCGAAAGTATTCGATTAGCGGAACGCCAAGCAGTCGATTCTCGTTGCCGTGCGAATCATTTTCTGGATACGCGTTGAGCATATATTGGCAGCATCGCAATTTCTCAGCTATCTAATAATTTGCTAATATGTACTTACTTACTGCCATTACTCGCTGACGAGTATTTGACACGCATCAGAAGATGGTTACGCAAGTCGTTTTCTTTCATGAGCTTTTCTGTGACTGAAAAGCCCGATACGTGATGTTATCTCTCTTCCGCACTCCGGACATTCAAATATCTCATTACTTTGTTGCCTCTTTACTTTTTGGTTGTCGTTGTTAACTGAGTTTGCAATTGTTCTCCATTGCGTTCTACTGTGCGCTGCTTCCTCCCACTGATTTTGCACGCTCATCCCCTTTAAGTTTTCATGGAAAATATTCTTGTATCTTTTGAGATGTCCACCCGGTTTCCTCTTATCCTCTACAAGCTTACCGTAAAGAAGAGATTTTGGTAGGCGGTTTTCTTGCATCCTGCATACGTGGCTAGCCCATATTAAGCGGGATTTAGTAATCATGACTTCAGCCCTTTCGCAGCTAGCTTTTTCAAGGATTGATACGTTTGAGACATGGTGGTACCATTTGACTCTTAACAGTTTTCTAAGGTGTCTCTGTTGCAATTTGTTTAATGCGTTCGTGTGCCGGCGCGGCGGTACGGCACCCAGGTTGCGCTTCCATATAACATGGTGGGGATTATTATTGCTCGGTACGCTGCAAGTTTCGTTTTTGTGCTGAAGTCATGATTGTAGAAAACCCTGTCTTTTAATTTCCAAAATGCTTTTGAGGCGTTGCTGTGCTGAATTTCAGAGTCGATATTAGCCTTTTCCGAAATCAAACTGCCGAGGTAATGAGGAAGATGCATATATTTTATTTTTCGCCAGAAACTGTTCAATTTATTAGAATAAATATGTATAAATGCAAAAAAAAACTTTTTTCTTGAAAGCAGTACCACAATTTTATAAAACGGGCCATTAAAATACTATAGATAACGCAAACGACGCCTCGCGAATTGAAACGATATTCTATTAGTCTGACGTCACCCGCCGTTCTCGTCGACGCGCGATGGCCAGCAGCAGCCAGACGTGTTCCGTTTATGTACGTATTTAGGTGGCGTACTAAGACATTTTTGTTGCTTTTAGCGTTGATTGAAGGAGCTTTTTATGCTTTTTGTGCAGTTATTATTTGTATGTGTTGTGTGTTCTGAGATTTTTTAAGTAATGGCAGATTCCGGGTTTGTAAAAGCACAATCAGATAACTTGCCAAAAGTTGATGCTTTTATGTTGGCTGCTTTTATAAATACAAATTCCCAATTTATTGGTGCTGAATTACGAGGAAAAAACAGAGAGGTATGTAACATTTATTCTTTGTAGTACTGAGGCATATTTAAGTATAAGTAGATACCTACTGTTACGAACTTTTATATAGTTATAAATTAATGTTATAAACTTATTTTTCAGATCAGGTAGGGAGACGTATGGAGATAATGCTGTAGGATATGTAGAAGTGAAAAGAGACAAAAATATTTGTTTAGTACGTGGAAAAATATCTCCAGAGCATAGCGTGAAAAAGAAAGTTTTTTTTATATATTGACACTCCCTTACCCTTGTTATTTTTAAAGATTGTTTTTTTTTACGAAATTATAGGAAATAAATTGTTAATCAGTAATGAAAATATTATACAAGGTGTCCCATAAGCAAACGCCACAATTAAGTTACTTATTTAAGTGAAACACGCTATATATTTTTGGATTTTTCGGAAATTTTTAGGTATTCTAGATATATTTCATGTATAATATCCTATACCTATCTTCAAATGTTTACGAAATATTGACAGTTGAAAAGCGAAAAATACCTACAATTTTCTGGACCACCTTCTTTGAGACACCCTGTATAACTAGAATTAATTTTAAAAGAGAGTATATGAAAAACCATGCAACTTTTTTATTTAATGTTTTCTTCTACTTGCAGTTAAGGCTGTATGTGGGTGTCAAAATATAATGAATAACCCTCTACATTCAAATTTCATATACCTATGTAAGACAATATACATAAATATATGAACTTACATCAAAATGATCTTCACAACAATAAATCGTAAAAATAGAGGATAATTTAACGTTTTTCTTTTCATCTCTTCTTATGGCCTTGGACCATTTTTTTCTGTTTTCGCTCATCCATTACTATTTATAAATATCACTAATTACTAATTATATATTAATTAACACAAATAACTAAAATTTTGACTACAGCGTTTAAAAGCAAACTGTGTAAAATAAACACGCGTCTAGCTCCACTGAACGCAGAAGAACGGCGGGTGACGTTACAGCGGCAAGGCGCGGTAGAGAGCGTTTGCCCGGCCATTTAAATTAACAATATTTAATTATTTTATATTAGAGGCATTTCTTAACCGATATCAACGATTTTTTTTGTTCAATTTGTAATTATATGAACTATTTTTTAAAACCGTTATTTAAAAACATGCATTTTCCTCATTGAATTTCGCTACATATTCCAGTAGTTCTCCGATTTTTATAGCACTGTTATTATTTTCCGGGTTGGTAATCCAAGCAGAATTACCGCGGCAATATTACCCTTTACATCACTAGTGAAGATTAAAAAGTAAAATTAGTTAGACGCACATGGCTTAAAAATCATCGTAATCAGCCCACTAGAACTAAATATATTAAACTTTAAAATACATGAAAACTTAAAGGTGTCTGTTTTTAGTAGAGTCAATAAAAACTTTCATTCATAATTTTACTGGATATGATTCACCTTTCTTCTTATCTTTTACCGTAATTTCTCGACAAAGTATTGGGATATACGGTTTCAAAAAACGAGAAAAGCCTTTGGAAAACAGTAAATAAATACTTTTCCAAATTGGATACCTGAAAGGGAGAGTTTTTTGGAGGGTCGTTGCAAAAAGTTCGACGTTTATATTTAATTTGTTCGAGTTTTTTCCGTGTTAGCGTAAGGGAAAACGTAAATAAGACAGGTCGTGGGCGTCGTAAATAGATTGGAACAATTCGTCATTCAAGACGGTGGAAATTTAATATTTCTGTAAACTGTTGTATTTTTATTTTTATGTCTCTTGTTTGAGTTATTTATAGAATAAGTTCTTTTTGATGAATGTTTTTGGTATAAAAAGGCATTGAAATTTATTTCGTTTTTTTTTTAAATTAATGAACAAATATCAAACTTAACACAAATGCATATTCTAGTTATTATTTACAATATTAACATTAATAGTACAACCAGTACACGAACCAATATTTAATTCCAAACTAGATAGTTCTGATTTTGCTTGAGATATGGGGGTTTTGGGACTTGAGACACTATCCAATTTTGATGTAGAGGTACTTGATCCCGGTATTTGACACTCTAAAATTTTATTTGATATTTGAATTTTATTGTTGATAGAATCCTGGACGTATCCCTCGGCCACTGTCGAAGATTTACATCCTCCGTGGCGCTTCAAATTAAATATATCACTCCCTGCATTAGCAAGGAGTGTTGCTGAAGTTCTCCGGAAACAATGCCCAGTGTAGGCCTCATAATCTGGCAGCTTCAAGTGTTTTGCTATCATGCTAGGCATCTTACCAATAGAATTTATGCCGACCACTTGGTTAACACATCTTTTATTTTGATATTTTAAAAACAATCCGCGACTAGTAGCATTTCTTGGACGAAGAGCTGCGTATTTTCGATAAAACTCAATATACTTAATTCAAATTTGACACTGTACAGATTCGGTCTATGTTTGTTTTTGTATTGGCTACTTTAACAATCAAAATTGAATCTTTATTTTCTATGTTATCGACCGACATTTTAGCAAGTTCCTCACGGCGCGGCGGCAAGCATCAGAAATACCAAGTATTAAAACGACCTAAAAGGAAATCGATGTCGATGTTCAGTAATTAAAAGAAAAACATACATTCCAAGCTCACGCTTTTTTTTTTTCGAAGCAATAATATAATAATAATAATTTTTAGAGATATCCCGATTTTAATGTTTGTAGAAAAAATGTTGTTTGCAACTCGTGCGCGAACTACTTTGGTGATCTCGACTATTTTTTTAACAAGGCTACGCCTCTTTAAAAAATTCAAGTATCGATCGCCAAAGTAGTACCCACTGGGTCTTTAACTAAAAACTAAAAAAAAATCCAAAGTATTTTTCAAAAAATTCCAAATTTTTAAAAAAGAATTTTGCGAAAAAACCTCAGAGAGCCAAAATATACTACCCCTAATAATATTTGCACTTATTTTCACTCACTCTGTATATTTGGTAATTACACGGCAACATAATACAGGGTCGCTGATATGTATGGGAACAGTCGTTTATTAGATAAAATATACGAGGTACCGCAAAAAGTTAAATATAAAAGTTATAGGGTTTTTGAATGTCTATTAGAGAGTAATAAATTTAAGTATACAGGATCGGTTATAAAGTCGTGGCACATCAAAGTTTGATTTTTTTAATGGATCATCCTGTATATTATTGCATATTTTAATTATTCCTTCAATTCTAAGCAAAAATCGAGGTACCCACAATGTACCTCAAACCAACCGTTTCCGAGTTATTGACTTTTGAAGATATCACTTAAACAATTTGATTTAATTAATTTCGATGTGTTCGGTTTCATTTAACGATGCTATTCTGCGGAAACTGCGATACGGTTATATATAAAATATTTGACATTCGTTTTCAAGTTAGCATTTATAGATGTATAAAATGAGATTATATTATCAAGTCTGGAACATACAAAATGTTCGTTTAACATTTCATAATCAAAACTTTATAATTCAAAAATGGTTGAATTTAGGT